ACTAATTAATATTTGTGAAAAAAACTGTGCTCATCAACCTTCCTAAGTGCTTCAATACAATTGAGGTTAACTATCCGTATGTATTATTATTATTATCGAGTAATGTTTTGATTAAAAAATTAACCACATTGTTTAATCAAAACATGTAATTTTTCTGATTTTATCTAGCAAATATACGGAAAAGAGACAAAAAACAATTGATGAATCAGTGTAACTGCACTAAATTGAATACAAAAAAAGAGTTTTCATCTTATCGCTGTAAAACAACAAAAACTGGAGGTGGAACAAAGCCAAACTATTTTTAATATTGCCAAAGAAGTATAACTTCTTACGCGCGTACATAAGTACACGGACCCTTTTTTTAATTTTTAGATATTTTTTATGATACAACATTAAAAAATACATACAACCCCCCTAACTTTAACCCCTATTTTTTTATTATAAATTATGACAAAACGACGTTTGCCGGATCAGTAAGTATACCTTATAATATTACTTTCCGTTATATCTCGTTAAGAGGGATATAGGTTGTAAGTTAGATTGGTGGACTCAGTTTCCGCACTTAGACTCATAATTGGTCCGTTGCGCGTAAAGTCCTGGCTAATTGAGCCAGCCTAGCTCCTTCCAGAAGCACAGAAGTTTCCTGGGCACTTCACCGGTTTCACGGAGTGACCTTACTGCTTCGAGGATTTCTGCACGTTGTTTAGCCACAGCCTCGCATTGCAAGACTACGTGGGTGACTGATTCCTCTGCGCTGAAACAGCCTCTGCACAAGGGGCTGTCTGTCGCGCCTACGACAAAAATATGTTTATTAAGGAGACAACCCTACAATTACGGGCCCAACAAATAAGACTGGTTCTATTTGAGAGCGATTCCACTACCGAATGGTTCAAGACGCAGAAGTTCATCACTTAGTGAGCGCTGACAGGATGTTGCAACGGACCAACAAATTCAATTTTACAAAAAAAGGAAACTAATTCAAGTTATTACTTATATTCTCATTCTTAAAAAGCCGGCAACGCACTCGCGAGCCTTTTGAAAGTGTAAGAGTCCATGAGCGGCGGTCATGTAACATCGTCTGTTCTATAAAATAATGGTCGTTATTTTTTCTTTGACTATGGTGATATTTCGAAATTTCGACGTATTTATTGTGTCATATTTAATATTATAATATATCAACAGGACATTGTTTCCCAAATTTCAATGATAATTAACGTAGTAACATTGTGTGTAACCGCGTATACATAACGCTCGTATAAAACTATTAACAAACTCGCCGAAGCTCGGTTTTCAGGCACACTTTAGCATTATTATACCCCATATTATGTGTTAGTCTAGTGGCTTTCAACTCTGAGGTCGTAGGTTCGAACCAAGGCTGTGCACTAATGGACTGTCTGTCTATGCGCGCGTCCGATAAAGGAAAACATCGTGAGGAAAGCGGCATGCCTTAGTGTGTGTCAGACAAAAAGTCATCAACGTGTGTCAGAACTACTCGCCTCTTATATAAAACAGGTTATAGCATTTTTGACGTGACAACGTCTTATAATTCGATGGAGCCGGCTGCACGCACGAAAAAACATGACTCATGCGGCGTTACCTCGCTCTGAGGCGTTACCTCGCTCTGAGGCGTTACCTCTCTCTGAGGCGTTACCTCGCTCTGAGGCGTTACATTTAAAATTGACATAATTGTATTTATGCGTACAAATAAATGTAACTTGATCAATTCAATTGTGATTTCCATTTACCTCCTTCTCTATATCCATACAAAATACCTATCAAACAAATAAAATTTAATTTTTTTTTTTTGAAAAATGCAACCATCCCATCAATATTTTTTTATGACGTTGTCACGTTCAACTATCGTCAGTAAACCGACTTTACAGACAACCGATTTTTTTTATATATATTTATAACGAAATATGATGAACAGTTTGTGTGGTGTAATCCTTCAAACTTAACGTGTATATAATTTTAAATGTCCACAATACAACAGCCTTGCGATTCTGTAACTCACTTTTCGAACTCACACAGCGGTTTTCACAGCGGCGGTCGCGCTCAAATCAGTCGTGAAGCAGTCATTTTACGATTTGGTATTCTGATAAGGAGGGAGCTTGTAGTTTATTGTTTATCAAGATGCCAAATCGTAAGATGACTGCTTTACGACTGATTTGAGCGCGACCGCCGCTGTGAAAACCGCTGTGTGAGTTCGAAAAGTGAGTTACAGAATTGCAAGACAGATTACATTTTTCATACAAATTGTGCACGAATAAAAAAAATATTCGTGACTATGTTTAGTTCCAAATACGTATATAGCGCAACGTTACCATTCTTCTTCATCGTACTATTAGATTTCGCAAATTATTCGTGTTAATGGCTCTTTACTTATTGTAGGATAAATAACAAAAGCACATTAAACAGGGCTTAAAACAATGAGACGATGGCTAATAGATTTAGCTAATAGATTTACGCGTCAGTACTGACCACATAAAAATTATAAAGCCTTTTTCACATAGGAAGTTTATTTTACAATCCACCGCGTGGTTCTCACTAACGAACCAAGAGTTGTTGTATTTGTTCATCATTGCCTGCAAACGGTTGAACAAAGTGTATTACCCACTGCTAGTCTAGCCTGCATGTATGGAATAAAGATCAATTATAAACAAAACATAAATTGAGATGATTGAACATTCTATTATACTTCTTTAAAAATTGACTATTTAATTTTCGAAGAGGTCTCTTGATATCTACGTAGGAATAACCTATTAATTAGTTTCTATTAAATACTTTTATAAGTTTTTTTTGTTCGAAACTCAGATCGTCTGTCAATACAATAATAACACTTATTCTAAAATTATATAGCACTCCCTTAGTAGTAACCTAACTACAAATAAATTTTTGTTTAATTGATATTTTAAAGTCTAAAGACACAGTGAAAATCTCCAGCAATTAGGGTTGAGAGAGAAAGAAAAAGGACAATAATAACAAGATAAACATATTTGCGCCTCTCTCACACCCCTGCTGAGCCTCCCCGGATCTTACTGCCACTAAGTTACTAATTAGTGAAGTGTCCAGATTGAAAGAAGTAATTTCAAACGTTGCGTAATTCGGCCTTGTATCCTTCTACGACAAAAACAACAGGTTAGTTACGTTACAACCGTTTAGAATTCTAAAGAAGAATTCGTATTTGATTAAATATATTATACAATTTGTAGATTGTAGGTCTTATATTTAATATATCCCTATTATTCGAAAATATTCTTGACTGATTCTTTATATTATATAATTTTTTGAACTAAGTATATGGGCTCAACTTAAATTTATTTTTTAAAATCAATCGTTTTAACAGAATTTATTAAAAAATTAAATGAATGTTACAAGCTTCCTATAGTGAAATTATCAGAAAACAAATCATCAGTCATTATCATGACTTTAACAAAAAACGTTTCATTCAAAAAACGAGGCGGAGAGGGACAATTAAATATATTTAAATACGATTTCACTATTTTTTTTATTTTATAAACCTATTTTATATTGCAACATATAATAAAATTGTTATTCAAATAATAGTAAGGTCAAAAATAAGGAATTGTACAGAAACTTTTAGGCTCTTTCTCTTTCTTTTTCTTCTACGTAGAAAGTAAATGATTAAGATACCTATCTAACTGAACCAATATTTATGAACTTTGGAATAGGATAAAATCATAGTTAATCTAAAACCAAGATGAAGCGGGTGTTTTAATAAAACTACGAAATCGAATGTACCAGTTCGCTTGTAAAAGTTTTTCATTTTAAATTTGTATCAAGCAAAAAGCACTCTCCAAGAAAGTTTTTGTTTTGTGCAGTGAGTAGGATTCTCTAACTAAACTTTTTGTGTAGAACAGTAAGCTTCGCCAAAAATGTTCATATAACTTGTTCGGCTAAATTTGATTGTAGCTTCGGGGAATGCGCTTGTTTTCCGATTACAGGTTTAGTTTTATTGTTATTGTTAACTTTTTATCGCTCCTAACACTAAAAAGCTCTAATTAATGGATTGTTAAACTGCAACCGATTATTAAGGGACATAATATACACACAAGCATAAAATAGCAGTATTGACTCTCATTTCTGAGGACGTAGGTTCAAACCCTGGCCATGCACATTTCATTGTATATGCGCATTGTACAATGTGAAGGATAATATCGTGAAGAAATGCTATGCCCAAAACGAAAAACGGAATGTGTTAGACACAGTAGACTCATTATCTACTTACTTATTAGGAAAATAATAATATTTTACGAAGCTAATGGCTGGCCATGCGCCATACTCGTGAACGGTGGCTACTTGTAGTGGCTGGGACTTGAATTCGTGTATGCGGTGATGTTAGTTATTTCGACTATGATTTGCGTTTTGATCCCACGAGAATGTGGGCTTGCTCCTACTTCACCATGCCTCCTGCTGATAGAGGAAATATCTTTGTAGAAAAACACTTTTTAACGGATTTGAAGATATGTTTTATTATAAATTTACAATTATTTTACATAATTTTAAATTTAACCGACGTTTCGCGTGCTTTACAGCGTGCGTGGTCACGGTGACTGAAGACAAAAGGTGTTGAATGTCAAGAAGTATCACAGCTGTAGAAAAAGTTATGTTATCTGTATTTCTTTCCCCGGAGTTGGTATCGACTAAAAGATGGAGGTGTTTTAAACTATACTTTTAACCCAAAAAACTTTATTAAAGAAAAAACACAACAAGAACATAATTTTGATAATCACTAACGTCAAATCTGATTTTTATTTTTAATTTTCTTATCTAACCTCATTTTACTGTTATTCATAAAAAGAGGTTGTTACGTCAATATTACTAGTTAAATGAATATAACCAGATTTGAAGCTTTTTACATTAAACATGCCGCGGGCCAAGGACTATATGGGTCCTTTAACCGTGGAAGATACAAACATCTGAACCTTAACTTAAATAGAGTGAGAATCTACAAAACAAGACTATGAACTATAATTTAATTAAGGCTCTGAAGCAGCTAGAGGCAGAGGGCACAGTTTAGTAACTGGTCTCTTAAATACACGATCCTTAAATTTTAAGGAGACTACACGCGTTACACCGTCTGCTCCCGGATGCTTCGCCACAATTCGTCCCAAAAGCCATTTACCTGGAGGTAAACGATCATCTTTCACTAAAACAACCGTACCAATATTTATGTCGGGGTGATTCTGGGACCATTTGTATCGATGTTGCAACATAGTAAGATACTCAGATTGCCAACGTCGCCACAGACTTTGTACCATACGTTGCGCCTTTATCCATCGGTTTAAATAGTCAGGTCGAGTATCTACGAAACTTTCTTCAGGGATAGTAACCGGTGCATCGCCTATCAAAAAATGACCAGGAGTCAACGGGAGTTCATCATCGGCAGAACTAATCAACGTAAGAGGCCGAGAGTTGACACAAGCCTCTACCTGTGTGATCAGAGTGCAAAACTCTTCGAATGTTAAGCAGGATTCGCCTATGACGCGTTTCAGATGTCCTTTTACGGACTTAACTCCAGCCTCCCACAATCCTCCAAAGTGAGGGGCACCAGGGGGGATGAAATGCCATGTTGTGCTGTCGTTAGCTAACAGTTGAGCGATTTCGTCAACGACAGTTGATTTACTGTTTTTGAACGCGAGGTCTAATTCTTTGGACGCGCCTATGAAATTAGTCCCACAATCACTCCAGATGTCTTTACAATGCCCACGTCGAGAAGTAAAACGTTTGAAGGCTGCTAAAAACGCAGCACTGGATAGTGAACTAACCAGCTCAAGGTGAATAGCCTTTGTAACCATACACAAAACACACTTATGTAAGCTTTACAAGTTTTTGTGCATCTACCAGAGTACAGTTTCAGCGTAAATGGACCACAAAAGTCTACGCCGCTGGTCAAAAATGGGCGTGACGGATTGACTCTGCACTGTGGTAAATTACCCATTAACGGAGTCAAAAGTCGTGCAATTTGGGTAAAACAAGGTTTACATAATCTTAAAATCTTTTTTACCAAGCTTTTTGCTCGGAGAATCCAATATTTTTTATGGACAACATTTAATGTGAGCGAATTTCTACCATGTAGTGTTCTCAAATGAGCATCAATTACAATCAACTTTGCTAAGTTACATTTGTGATGTAAGATTATAGGAGACTTCATATCAGGCGGTATTTGAGCATTTACAAGACGTCCACCGACTCTAATAATTTTCTCATTGTCTAGGATCGGATTTAAAGGTAAAAGTTTACTATTTTTTGGGATAGGTTTGCTCTGTGATAAGAATCCTATTTCACTTTCAAAGTAAACAGACTGTGACATTCGAATGCAAGTTTTTAATGCATTTTTAATTTCATCAGTAGTGAGATATGTCAGTTTTATGTTATCGTTTCTTTTGAGAACCTTATCTTTACATAGCCGCAAAAATCGAAAGCAATAGGCTGTCACACGTATAAGTCTAAGTAGATTTGAGTATCTATTGAGGTACATAGTACATTCATTGGGTTCAGAGGTGCATAAATAACTAACTTTTGCTCTCGGTTTTGCTTCGAGTGTGGTTGTAGGTATAGTGAAATTAGGGTAACAAATCTCAACAGACTCGCGAAGAAAGGCTGGACCTTCCCACCATAGTTGTGACTGCATCAGCTCGCCAGGACTGATACCGCGTGAGGCGCAGTCCGCGGGGTTATCCGCAGACTTAATATGATGCCATTGACTACTATTCGTAACATTCAAGATTTCGGTAGTGCGATTACCAACGAATGGCTTCCAAGTATTTGGAGTTTTACGCAACCAAGCCAAAACTATTGTGGAATCTGTCCAAGCAAATACACAATTATCATCAATATTTAGACTAGATTTGACATACAGTATCAATTTAGACAATAGGACTGCTCCACAAAGTTCAAGACGTGGCAATGAGATCTGTTTAACAGGAGCAACTTTTGTTTTGGCTGCGACCAGACTTACTTTTATCTCATTGTCCGTGATGACTCTGATGTAAATAACCGCAGAGTAGGCGGCGCAAGAGGCGTCACAATAACCGTGCAATTCAATTTTTACATTATTTGCAATCCCTAACCAACGTGGAAGCTGAATGGCTTGCATGTGTTCAAAATTAGTCAGGTAATTCTGCCATTCAGTTTTCAGGTCTTCTGGAAGTTCAGAGTCCCAGTCCAGGCCGGCTAGCCACAACTTCTGCATAAACATTTTTAACATAACAAAGCAAGGTGCTAGCCAACCCAGAGGGTCAAACGTTTTTGCTATCGCAGATAGCACACTTCGTTTTGTAACAACATCGTTGTCATGAGGTAAATTAACTACCAGTTCAAATATATCACTTTGTGGTTTCCAGGCTATGCCCAAAGCTTTCACCGAATCATCCATTTTAATATTCACTGAACTTTTTAATGCCTTTTTCGAATCGGGAATTTCATTTAAAACAGTTTCACTATTAGACGACCACTTATGTAGAAGAAAACCGCCACGTTTAAACAGTTCAGTTAAGCGACGTTGAAGCCGTTGAGTGTCTTCTTCTGTAGATGAGCCCGTCATCAAATCGTCCATATAGAGATCAGTTTTTAGAAGCTCAGCTTCAGGAAACTCTTCACGTTCGTCTTCTGCAAGTTGATGAAGTGTCCTTATGGCAAGATATGGAGCACATGAACTGCCATATGTGACGGTAAGTAATCGGATCTTCCGATGACTCGCGCCACAAGATTCTCTGGTAATCAGTGTCTTGCTTTGAGATAAGTATCTGTCGGTACATTTGTTGTATATCAGCTACTATGCAGTACTTATGTTGTCTCCACCGTGTTACTAATTCTCGTATATCTTGTTGCAGCGGTGGGCCGATGAGTAGCTCATCGTTAAGTGAGTTTCCGTCTACAGGTTTAGCGCTTCCGTCAAAAACTACGCGCAACTTTGTAGTGAGGCTTGAGGCACGCAGAACAGCATGATGTGGTAGGTGATAAGCTCTATTCTTCTTTTCTGTTTCAGGGACGACCTCCATGTGACCGAGTGACTCATATTGCCTCATGAACTTGCAGTATTCTTCGTGAAACTCGGGTCTTCGCTTAAACTTATTCTCCATCTGAAGTAAACGCTTCAAAGCAAGTTGTCTGGAGTTGCCTAAATTTGGAGCGTCTTCGTCCTTGAAGGGTAGTCTAACCTCATATCGACCGTCAGTGTTTCGAGTGTGAGTTTTCTTAAAATGCTCTTCACACTGCATTTCAGGTTTTGACAGAGGCTTCACGTTTGGTGAATATTCATTGATCTCCCAAAACTGACGTAGCAACTGATCAACTTCGAATTGTGTGTGCATAACAACTACATTGTGTGACTGATGGCCAGATTGCGTAACTTCGCCGCTTACTAGCCATCCCAATCTTGAGTTCAAAGCGACCAGAGACTCATTGCGTTTTATTATTCCGTTAAGAATAATATGCGCATATACAACTGCACCTAATAGCACGTCGATAGATCCTGGCATGTGAAAGTGTGGATCCGCAAGATCCGAAATCTCAGAAGAAGGCCAGGTATCTGGTGGTATCTCTTGTGATGGTAATCTCGAATTTATTCGTCTAAGGACGTACGCCTTAGCTGTGATCATGTGTGATGGATTTCTAATAGCATGAAAGTTCAACGTAACTTGTGACTTGGTTGTCAGCGGTATAGATGATATGCCAGTAATTTTTCCGCTGATTGAAGTGCGCTCGAGATTAAGCAGTTGAGCTGCCGCTTCAGTAACAAAGTTTGATTGCGAGCACGGATCAATCAGTGCTCTCAAGACTATAGTGTCGCCGTTCCTCGACTTAACTGCAATTCGTGCAGTTGCCAATATTACTTCTTCACTGTCACTGTCAACCTCAGCTTTGTAAACGACGGTTGATGTGGTTTGGCTTGTTACAGGTGTACTGGATGTTACTGCATCGCTTTCTGGCACTAATGTGGTCTTGTTAGGGTTTGTGAAGTGCAGCAGAGTGTGATGTCGTCGACTACATATTCTACAATTGGTGCTCTGCCTACACGCATTAACGGAGTGACCCTTTACAAGGCAATTAAAACAAATGCCATTCTTCTTAATGAAATCGTGACGTTGAGGAACACCTAATGCGGCGAATTCTTTACAATGACAAATATAATGGTTTTGTGAGCAATAAGTGCATTCGCTGTTTACTTCTGTGACAAATGATTTCATATTTGTGGGTTTTTGGGTTGTATAATTGTTAACTAAGTCCTTTTTCTGCGGTTGGTCTTTTTTGTGAGTAACATTTACCATCTCCATAGAACGAAAACGATTTTCTAAAAATAATGATAAAGTGGTAAATGTTGTTATGTCTTGAGATGATCCAAGTGACTGTTCCCATTGTTTGTGAGTTTCTAAGTCCAATTTGGATACAACTAAATGTACGATGATTGCATCCCATGTGGAGGTATCCACGCCGAGATTATCAAGAGAATTCAAACATTCCTTCGTAGTATCTAAAATTTCCTTTAAGCTTTTAAAACATTCTGTGTTCATCTTCTTTTGATTTAAAAGGCGGCTAATTATTGTAGTGACAATCATACGTTTGTTATTGTATCTACTCTCAAGTGTGCTCCAACACTTATCGTAATTAGCCTCCGTGAGTGCAAAATGTTTTAGAAGTTGTTCGGCCTCTCCCGATAAACTAGTTTTTAAATAATGATGTTTTTCAATTGTTGTTAGATGCACGTTGTCATGTACGAGAGCCTTAAACAAATCTTTAAAACTTGTCCAGTCGTTATAATTACCGGCGAACTTTGGAATCGATAAAGGAGGTAATTTAGCTCTAATCGGGGTGGTCTCGCCATCATTTGTTCTTAACAAACTCTGCGTAGGTTGACCTTGACTTTTCGAAAATTCCAACAAATAATCCTTTAAAAATCCCTTAAATTCTAGGTATATGTCTTCAGTTGTCTCGTATAGACTTTCGGTATTGAATTGTAATTGCTCTAGTTCAGTTTTCGTAACAGTTGATTTAATCATCTCATATTGAGTTTGATACTTAGACCAATAACTTTCTAGTGTTTCTATGCGTGTTTGTATATAGCCAAGTGTGTATCTTGATTTAGATGTCTTTTTGGTATTGCTTTGTAATTTAAAAATACGTTCCGATAACGTTTTTTGTGATTCACATAGTTGAGCCATTGTTTATGAATAAGCAGTTTCAAATAACCAAAGTTTTAATCACAAACGTTCACGTAACGAAATTGTATTAGTCCAAATCAATAACGCACTGTTTAAATTTCTAAGTTTAAATGTCTATTCTTACCAACTCGCAGTAATAAGTACTTAGCCTTTTACACAGTTGTTTTTTGCACTTATTACACTTTTAATCCGGTTCAAGAAGGACCAAACATGTTTTAAACTATACTTTTAACCCAAAAAACTTTATTAAAGAAAAAACACAACAAGAACATAATTTTGATAATCACTAACGTCAAATCTGATTTTTATTTTTAATTTTCTTATCTAACCTCATTTTACTGTTATTCATAAAAAGAGGTTGTTACGTCAATATTACTAGTTAAATGAATATAACCAGATTTGAAGCTTTTTACATTAAACAGGAGGGTTTTGGCAGGAATGGCTCACGGTGTCCTCTATTTTCGCGGATTGTTTAATTGTAAATTTATAATAAAACATAACTTCAAATCCGTTAAAAAAGTGGTTTTCTATGTCTAAAAGTTATGTCAATAAAAGACAATACTAAATATCTTTGTTTTTAATTTATTATTAATTATTTATTAATTAACTATTAATAACTTATGAAGTTGGTGTAATGGTTACATCCTTACAAACATTGTGTAAAAAGAGTGGCGGAGAGTTTATTTCCAATTCTTCTCTTCCGTTCTATGCACTTGAATTGAGAACTGGCAATAAATGTAAAATTAGAAGCATTTAAAATGTAGTTCTTTTTCATAGGTGTACATTGTTACCTATATGAATAAACGATTTTAACTTTGACTTTGAAAACAGACACGGAAATCTGAGGCCCATACTAAGAAGGTCCTAATGCTACTGGAGTTTTATAACAATGCCACCTGATACATAATTTTGCTTCTTAACAGTACGTAATTTTGCTTCTTAACAGTACGTAATGTACATGGATCCTCACCAAAAATTTTGAACTATACCCCAAAAGGAAATCTAATTTAGAGTACAATGTGGTTTCAAGTTGATTTAGTAACGTGAAAAATGAATGGACCTGTGACTGGGGTTGAACGATTTTTGTATTTTTATCATTATTAAATTGCGTTATTATTTTAGGCGATTTTCGTTTGTTTTACAGAAATCGAATACCTCCAGGTAGTAAACATATACCAGGAAAACATACTTTTTTCTACATTACATAGTTTATTTTGTTAATTTCTTTCATATTTAATCAGACCTTAATTTGTTGTATCTAAGTAGTAGTTATTTGTTCTACGATAAATGTCACGTATCTTTGAATTTTATCTTTAAATACAATATATTATGTTTCAAAAATTTAATTCGAGTATTGATTCAACGTAAGTTATACAGACATAGATCGAGCCCATTTTATTATCGGGTTACAAAGGAAACTCAAACTTCTTGTCGCATTAAGATAAATCACAAGTATTAAAAATATAAGAAAACAAAACGGGAGGCGTTGGAACGTGATGCGGTCGACGGTCACGTAAAAAATGGCCTCATTCTGAAATCTGAATGGACTGAATTTTAATAATCAACGCTGTATTTTTCGCTGAAATATAACAGCAACTATACAAATAGGTTCGTTTTAATTAACTGTATACTCAGTATGTTTTATGAGAGAATTTTACTCAAACCATAATTAGTTCTAATTGAAGGCTTACGTGACTGAATAATTAGAATTAGTACTGTAATAAATATATAAATATATAAACGGAGATTTGTGACTAAAGTATTGAAAAACAATCATGCTTCATATTATCAGTAGGTACGTTAATCGTACTATATTCGTAAAAATATTAAAGTTTGTATCGCATTAAAAAATGTTTATTAATCTGTATGACTTGGTTATATATTAGCTAAAACAGTATTGTCCTAGTGGCGTAAGCATAAAACTCTTGAGGTCGTAGAACTCCAGCCTTGCACCATCGAACTTCTTTTCATGTGCGCATTTAACTTTCGCTTTTACAGTAAAGAAAAAATAATCATCGTGTTGGCCTTAGTCCCAAATAGATGACGGCGTGTGTCAGGCACAGAAGGCAGATCACTGGCTTATTATTAAAATGATCACAAAACAGGTTGATTGACTGATGGTTATCTAAGGCAGACTACCTACTTACATCATAGAGTAAATTAAATAAAGAATCAATACCAAAGTAGCTTTAAAAATTTGAGTACTGCCTTGCGATTCTGTAACTCACTGTCGCACTCTAATCAGTCATAAAGCAGTCATTTTACGATTTGGCATTCTGATAAACAATAAACTACAAGCTCCCTCCTTATCAGAATGCCAAATCGTTAAATGACTGCTTCACGACTGATTAGAGCGCGACCGCCGCTGTGAGAGTTCGAAAAGTGAGTTACAGAATCGCAAGGCTGTATTCCAAAACTAAAACGAAAGAAACTTGTACATGTCCGTTTTTCATTACGTCTCAAAGCCTACAAATCCCAAAGTATGTCTTTAATGAGAAAACCACAAGAAAAATAAGCTTTAATTCCAACTGGCGTCGAAAAGTTGAACAAACTTGTGAAGCAATCAGGGCATCATGAACGCTTCAGTCCGAACCTCCATTTGAACGAAACAATCTCTCTTATTTGTTATCTATCTTAGCCATTTATTCTTCTTTATCCGCAGTTCATGTTATTAGAAAATATACACTTGAGGTAGGAGGAAGACTAATAATTAATGTTAGGTTCTTAAATATGACAATGTTATTAATATAAACAAGTGGCATACCTTAAGACAGGCCAAGTCTTAAGGTTTTATTTTCTTAGTCAAATTCCTGGACAGGTAAGGTGATAAAGCCTTCTTTGTATAACACGGAATTTAGATTCTGTCGATTTCCTTCGTTAATTTTCTTCTATCCGAATACTTGGATATAGAAACAAATCTCGATTCGTACACGGCCAAGATTCGAACTCACGACCTCATGGTTGAGAATAGTGCATTGGCAAAAGTTTATCACAGCTTTTAGTATCCTAAATAATAACTGTTTCGCTCACCACGAAATTTACAACTTATGTTTTGAGTTAACACTAAAAAGTTGTGAATTCAGTCTTTTCTGCAGGAATATATCGGTCTTCTATGGCTAATTTATATTAATTCTTTGAATACTCTTGATATTTTCATTCATCGTATAAGTAAGTGATTTCAAAGCGCGTCGAAAGTCGTTCGTTTGTAGCTTAAGACACTGGTTTAATGTAAAAGTTTTAATTTACCTTATGTAAACATTCTTACAAAGCATATAACTTTTAACACGTAGCGTACTCACGCTTGGATACTTTACTAAATACTTTATATTTTATGAAGACTCCTAACAAGTTGCATTTACGTCAAAATATTATAACTTTGCACTATCGTGAGCCCACCTTCATAGTTTATTGAAAACTCCGCAAACTTTCCAACCAGGGTTTATTAAATTAACGTATATTGTTGTTAAACTATGGTTTATATAGATAAGAAGTCGAAGAGGACTCTCATAGCAAATTAAGGTAGAAATTGACGTACACTTTCTCTATATATATGAGTTTTTGACAGTTTAATTATATAATAAGTTCTTGTATTAGTCTGTTTTTGCGAAAAAAAAACTATTTAGCTATTAAGTAAGTTTTGACTTAATTTGTTAACTATGTTTATATTCTGCAATACGTATCGTAGGTGTGTGTATAAAAAATAAGTATTCTTTCAAAATAATAAGCAGCAAAAAGTCGACAGCATGTGTCAGGCAGGCGGCTGATCACCTACTTGCCTATTAGATTGACAAATGATCATGAAACAGATATATAAATCTGAATGTCAATCTTTAGCTCATATTAATTATTCACGGCATACTAAAATAACTGCACTATACGCCTTAATCTTTAAGTTAATGTAAAAAAAGTGCGTGCGCACAAAGGACACCTGTCAGAAGTGAAACTTCTTTTTTTAATATTAATATAGTATAAAATATCAATTATTGCTAATATAAGGTAAAAGCCCCAATAGATGATCATGTACCAGTATAGGATCACTCCATGTATTTGAATATCTATATTCACACTGTTTACACACTATATACGTGCTAATGATAATATAAATAAATAAAAAATCTGCGTTTACTTCACAAGACGTTATGCGACAGAATTGCCATCTGAAGTTCTAATATTATGTAACTACTAAACGAATACATCAACCAATAGCGTGTATTTTTTCTAGATCTTCAAATTCAAATTCAAATTCTTACTCTCTCTCAATCTTTCTCACTATAGATCTCTCCCACCTCTCGCTCCATGGCTATTTGCTTCATGCTACGTTCGCCCTTTCTCGCTCTCTCTCAATCGGTCTCAATCACTCTCTCCCTTTTTCTGCGACAAAAACGCTGCATCATCGTGACGCTAATATTATTATTATTGCGTTTCATCCCTAAAAATTTTACCCTCATGCGCCTAAAGAAGTTTCACTTCAAAAAGTTATTTAAGTAAAAAAACTATAATTAATACATATTACCCATTCTATAAACAACATATTGCAGTTATTTTTAATCTCATAACGTTAAGGATAGCTTCGTAATTCCGATTATCCCTGGCATCTAATCCAAAGTCCAAGCCGACGTTAGTCGGCAACTAAAAGCGAATAATAATAACATTCACCTCACACCAAGTGAGATTTTAGCTTGAATTTTGGTAAGAATTTTATTTGAAGGCCACCTTTATGTATTGCGCTGAAGAATTTAATAACGAAGTGGTTTTAGATCAAATTTGGATGAGTTTATTTTTTAGATCTTGGGTGTTAATTGAAGTTTTTAATTATTCGCTGGTAACGTTATACCATATTTTTAAAACTAAAAGTTGTTATAATGTGTGACCTTTAGAGTGTTTAAGACTATTTCTAATTCAATTTTATTCGTCATTTTAATAATTCTTATTTATTTCAAAGGTATAAATGTTTCTTTATATTTAAAGAAAATAATTGACTAAAATATATTGCTTTTAAT